TAGTAACTGCTGTCAAAAGGCCCAATTTCCAGCTCTGCTCTTTGTACATAGGCTGAACCATGAAAAGAGGAGGATTAGACACCGTGATCCTCTTCTGTGCAGGCCACAATTTGCAGTGGGATTTACAGGAGGATACTCAAAGAAGATTATTTCTTTCTTGCAAAGCTAGTGGAAAGGAAAATTTCTTCCATTAATTTCAATCCTTTGAAAATAAAATGATATCATATTATCAATGGGTATAGTTTTATACTCACTGATATTTTGATTAATTTTGTTCCAATAATTTAGTCATATCAGATTCTTCTATCGCATTTCATACTGATTGTGGACTCAGAAGGCATCAAGATTCGGTAATTAGTTAAAATCAAATTCCAATGCTTTGTTCTTTTGTTCATTTAATGCCACTAAGAGGCCGACTAAAACAGATTTTTTTTACAGTATAGATGCCAAGATGCATGATGGAATGAAAGTTTAAGAGAGAATCAAGTTGGGGAAGCAAAAGGAAAACAGGAGAGGGGGAATCTGTGAAGGCCTAAGAGTCTTAACAGGACATGTGGCAAGGCCCACCTGTGAGGACAATGCTCAAGCAGACTTGGCCCTGCCCGAGGGGTCTGTCCGAGAGAGAGGAGTCACTAAGCAAAGTGAGAGACGTGCAGGTGAATTTTAAATTAATTGAGAATCAGCCACTTTCATGTATCTTAGCCCAATCTACAACTACAATGGAATCTTACCCACTCACTAAAGGAAGCCCTCCCTACCAACAAAGACTCTCTCCTGCTGTCTCAGGAGTGAATCAGCGTGCAGAGACCTCCCTGAAAGGACAGACTCAGACTATCCCTCTCTTAAAGAGGAACACTGCAGTATTTCTGAGCGCCACAAATTGTCATCATCGCAAAACATTTGGAAAACTCTTTAAATTTGAGCAGTGAGCCCTTAAAATGGAGTGAAACAATTAAATGCCAACATTTTCTCCATCAAATGGGCAAGAAATATTTTAATGACACCAAGTGTGAGACTCACAAGAAACTCCCACCTGCATGCGACAGGCTGCCAGTGCCAACAAGCAGCCCCTTCCGAAGGTGCGGGCTTCCCAGGTCGTTAGTAGCTTTACATAGGGGTTTTGACAGTGGTAAGTATCATGAGGAGGATTTCTCCTGAGGAAATAACTGGAAATGCAAGTACAATAATAAGGAAAAACACCCACTGCATTTGACTGAGTTTGTTTTCTGTCCCAGGCACTGTGTGATACTTTAATCACCATCTCATTTAATTCTCATAATAACCCCATGAGCAGCTATTACTGGTATCCTAATTTTACAGAGGGGAAACAGAAGCTTTAAGGTTACATGACTTATCCGAGGTCCTAGAGCTGCAGGGGTGGTGGAGCTGGGACTAAAATTCAGATCCATCGCAAGCTCAGATCCAAGCTCTCAGTCGCGTGATAAGAGAACAAAGGTTCACAATATCTCAGCTTGGGAGCTCTATAGAGTATTATTTCTTATATAAACTTTCTATTTTAGTTATTATGAATACATATAAGGGGAGACCCCAAAACCCCGGAATTATCTTTTGGAAGGCGGGCCCCTTGTAGCACAGGCTTCCCCTACTAGGTTAAGCGTTCTAGGAACCTGTCAGCATCCGTGGACCCGCTAGCATTATTTTGAGAGGCTACATTCAGCTTCAGGGAATTTTTTTTGGAGATTCTTTCAACATGTTTGCCCATTTCATGAGGATGGATTTACAAGCACACCTGCCCACACCGCGCTAAGTGTTCAGTAGTTTTTGACCAAAACAGCAGGAACCCTGTGCCCAACCCTCCCTATTCACACGATCTCACCCTGAGTGACTAATTTTTGTTTCCTTGGATGAAAAAAGTCCTCAAAGGGAAACATTTTGTGAGTGTAAAAGAGGTAAAACAAAAAATGGCAGAAGCTCCAAAAGGCATCAAAACAGATGAGTTCAAAAACTGTTTTGGGCAGTGGAAAAAGCGTCTTGATAGGTGTATTGTAACTAACGGAGAGGACTTTGAAGGTGACTGAAGTACAAACATGTAGGAATAAATACTCAATTTTTTAAATAAATAAACTCCATTTTTTTGAGCCTCCCCTTGTAATAGTTGCACATATTTATAGGGTATGTGTGATATTTTGATACAAGCAGCCAGTGGGTAATGACTGAATTGGCGTAGCTGGGGTATGCATCACCTCAAGCCTGTATCGCTTCTTTGTCAGGAGCATTCCAATCCTACTCTTTTGGTTATTCTGGAACATACATGACGCTTGACGCTCTGTGCTGTCAAGCACTAGGTCTCACTCCTTCTGTAGCCCAGTCTCCTTGTACCCATTACCTGTGCCCTCCATCTCCCCCCACCATCCTCCCAGCCTTGGGAACCATTGTTTCACTCGCTGTCTCCACACAGTCAGTTGTTTCTGAGCTCCCACGTGAGTGAGAGCGGGTAACATTTCTCTTTCTGTGCCTGGCTTATCTCACTTAACACAACGTTCTTCAGTTCCTTCCATCCGAGTTGCTGCAAATGACAGAATTTCATTCTTTTTTCATGGCTGTCTAGTTTTCGATCACATATGTGTACCACATTTTATTTATCCACTCAACTGTTGATGGACACAGGTTGCCTCCACGACTTGGCTACTGTGACCAGTACTACAGTGAACCTGGGGATGCAGATCTCTCTTCAGGATAAGATATTATTTATAATTGCGAACAAACCTGGAAACCACCCAAAGTTCCACTAGATTGATATTGCACATCCATTAATTTAATGTAGTACTAAGATAAGTCTTAGTGACAACGAAAAAGTTCATAATATTTTAAGTATAAAAGGGCTGAGCTACTCTGTTCAATGTACTCTCCAATACACATGTGCCCAAGTAAAAAGAGAACTAAAGGGCAAGAATGGATCTATTTTTATTTTCTTCTATGTTCTTTCCTATATTTTCTAAATTATTTTTTAATTGGAAAGCTACTTGTTTTTGGCACTTACAAGAGAAGAAATGCTTTTTCCAGAATGGCAAAACATTATAAATTATTTGTACTCTGAAAAAAAAACTGAAAACGACGTCTTCCTGTCCTCACCATAAAAACAGAGGCCCAGGAAGAGCCCCGGGAGAGAGGCCAGCACGTGAGGAATGGCATTCAGATACATCTTCAAAACAACCAGGAAGACCTGTATCCTCAGACCGGTTTGCACCCCCAGGCTGTTGTCAACCTATTATTAGGCAGCACTGTGAACACTATTTTGCAGGGGAAGAGTCTGTAGTGCTTCTAATACATTTCGAAGACACCTAGGCGTCATCCTTTTTTCTCTTCTGAACTTTAGTTACAGAGAATAATCCTTTCCCCCCAAAAGACAAAAAGTTTCCTATGAATTTATCATACTGCTGAAGCAGGGATGATCCAGACAGTGAATCATGAAGAATTTTGAAGAAGCTTGTGGAGACATCTGTTTTTATATTCCTTAACCTTCTATTCATCTAGAGTTCTACCTTGAAAGACTTCAACAATTTAAAGATTAAATAATAAGTTATTAAGCCCTTAATTTAACCATTTAAGCCTCTAAAACCAGCACAAATTACCTTCCCCCCTCAAGTCAATTTGCAAGAGATTAAAATAATAAAAATGATACTATCACACACTTACAAAGCAGCTTTGATCTGCAAAACCTAAAGGACTTTCTGAAAACTTTACAGAGAACTAGCAGCAGCCACCCACACGCCAAGGTTGTTTGCGATGGGAGCTGGCAACGGGGGTGAGCCATGCAAGAGCTGACCATCTGCAGGGACAGCCTAGCCACAAACAGGTACAAGGGGCTGGGCCGGGGGTGCAGGCAGAACTGGCTGCCCAGCTGAAGCATGGTCGCTCAGTGCTGCAGGTCCCAAGGCTGCTGCTTATTTACATTTTCATCAGAAGTGCTTACCAGTTCCCTTTAAAGGGAAAACAAAAAGCAAAGAAAAGCAGCTCCTGCCCCGAAGAGTCCTTGTCACCGATCCCTACGGCTGTTGCTTTTTCTGAAGACACCTTCCACGGCGCTGGCCTGAATGTGAGCTGGACCCGCCAGCTGATCGGCCGGAAGATTCTATGCCGTGTTGTTCTGCTTTCACTGACTACTTGAAGTGGCCACATGAGAAGGTGACAAATGGCACTTAGAGCAAGACAGATGGATGAGGGACGGGCGTGGTGGCTCAAGCCTGTAATCCCAGCACTTTGGGAGGTGGAAGCAAGAGGACTGCCTGAGCTCAGGGGTTCAAGACCAGTCTGAGCAATATGGTGAGACCTGTCTCTACAATAAATCAAAAAATTAGCCAGGTGTGGGGTGCATGCCTGTGGTTCCAGCTACCTGGAAAGCTAAGGTGGAAGGATCACCTGAGCCCAGCAGGTCGAGGTTGCAGTGGCCGTGAGCAGCATGCCACTCCACTCCAGCCTGGGTGACATTGAGACTCCGACTCAAAAAAAAAGAAAGATGGACGAGACCTGCATGGAGCTGCCAAGCAGAGTCTGGTTACCACCTAAAACAAGATGCTCCCTTTGTCAGGGTTCTTGGGACGTCTTCCCAGTGACGTGTCTCTGTCCTTCCTCCAATGACACAGTCAACTTAATGGATCGCAAACGGTTTGATTTCATATAGTAATGAAAGAATTTCAAAAGAAATCCTAAACCAATGTGTTCACTGTACCCAAACCATCTTGACTATGGTTCTTTTAATCAAGCTGACGCAAATTTAGGAAAAGAAAGTTAATCTAAATATGTACTCAACAAAGCATAATTTGGAAAATAAAGGTTCTTGATAAAAATGCATTACAAAGTGAAAAAGTCTGAAACAGTCTCTGTTACCCCCCCCAAATTCTGCTGATCAATGAGTCTCACCTGAGAACACAGTTGCTATGGGTTTCATGTATGTATATGCACAAAGGTGTATGCACACACAGGTGTGAACACACACATGTAACAGATAGGACATTAAATGGAAGTAACAGTCTGGATACCTTCTTCATGGCCTGACATTTGGCTGTCTCAGAAAAGCCGATCATCTTGTCAGGAGAGCAGATCTTGATGAATGGGAAGTTGGACTCCTCAGCGATCTTGGCAGCGAGGGCAGTCTTCCCACTATGAGGGGGGCCTGTGTGAAGACATGGCCGTCAGGGAGCACCAGTCTCAGACAGGGGAATGGAACAAGTTCCAACTTCTACCCCGAGCACTACGGTCTCAACCAGCTGCTCATTACCATTTCCCGACACACTTTCGTGGCAGGCGTGTTTTATTTATTAGCAACTAAACTTAATGAGCTGATTAGCATTTCTCAGGAGTATGGTGAGATGCACACCTTCTTATTTTCTCACATGGCCGAATTTTCAAACTTCTGGCTAAATAGGTAAGATGCAAGGGTTTTCACTTCTTAAAAAAAAAAAAAAGAAAATGCACTCAAATACCTATTAGCACTTACTGGTTCTGTCAAAATGCTTGTCTATCAGAAAACAGTCTTCTCAGGAGATGGCCCTGGTGCAGGGAAAACCGACTCCTAGATGCAGAGGGGACTTGAGCTAGACTCTAAGGGCTCAGACTGCTCACAGAGCAAGCTCACCTGCAAGCGTAACTGCCTCCTGACCTCCCTGCCTTCCCTTTTGTGTGTCCCTCGTCCCCCACCACAGCCCCCCAAGTCTTCCCTCCCACCTTCTCTGGAACCCTGACGGCTCCTCCTTCTTGGATGTTCAACCTCCTCCTCTTCCCCAAGCCTTTTTGGAAGCATCTGAAAGGCCCTGGTCTATCTGATGGCTTCAAAAGCAAAGCAAGCTCTTGTGGTCATGATACCCTCAGCCTACCCTTCTCCTTCCAAAATGGAGCACGCAGGGCTGCATCCATACTTCCCCCCACCAGCACACCTGCTGGCTCTCACAGGGCCGCCATGGCCTCCAGGCCATCACCTTATCTGTTGGTCTCCAGGCACATCTGACACAGTTCCTCATCCCCGCCCCCAGCTTCATTTCTTGGCTTCTTCTTTTGACTTCCATGATGCCCTTCCCCTGCCTCTTGCTCAGTCTCCCATCAACTCTTTCTGCTCTATTTGGCCCTCACATGTCAACAGGCCTGAGAACTGTGTTCTAGGCTCCTTTCCATCTTAGCCACACCCTTCCCGTGACTTCTTCCACTCCCATGGCATACCGACAGTCGTGAGTCTACTGACAGCCAGACTCTTCTGGGCGCAGACCCACACACCCAGCAGGCTGCTCAACACCTCCCCTCTTCTTCCACTATATGAGCCTCAAATTTAATGCGTTTAAGACTGAGTCCACAATCTTCCTTCCAGAAACCTGCTTCTCTGCCAGTGTTCCCAGTCTGGGTCAACAATGCCATGACCAGGCTGTGTGTGCCAGGAACCTGGGTGTCACCTTTGATGCCTCTACCCATATTCAGTCTAACCAATATTTGTAAGATTCCGCTCCCCAACTACAAAACAGAGATAGCAGCACAGACCCTCAAAAGACTGATGTGGGGTTTAAATGAGATAATATGTACAAAGGGCCAGGAGAGTGACTGGCAAGTAGTGTGAGCTCAAAGAACGTTGGTTTGATTATGACTACTAATAGTAACGATCAGCTCAATCCTCTTCCACCTTCTAAGTATTTCTAACAAGTCTGCTTATCTCCATCTTCACTACAACCACGTTAGCTCAAACCACTGTCAGCTCTTACTAAGATTGATCCAACTGCTCCAGTCATTTGTCTCTCCTGTATCTTTCTGCCCCTCTAATCCTTTCTCCATCATAAGGTAGTCATTAAGGGGCTTTGAAAGTACAAATCTGGCCACGAGATTTACTGCTTAAAACCCTACAGACGACCAGTCTAGATCCCCAGCAGACCACCAAGCTGCATGTGAGCTGGCTCCGTCCACTTCAATCCCATGTCTGGTCAGTCTCCCTTTGTGTTCCAAGCTCCCTCCTGCCCAGGACTCCCACACGCTGGTCCCCTGCTGAGAGCACCTTCCCCAGGCATCTATCTGGCCCACCACGCATCTCTCAGGTCTTGGCTTCACATGCCCCTCTGAGGGACCCCTGACCCCCCAGACCTTTAGAGGAAGGCAGGGTCCCCCATCATGTGCCACACTGAACTTCTCTGTTGCCGTGCTCGTCATAACCACCAGCTAGTTACTTGTAAATGAAACGTCCTTCCCCTTTTGTCTATGTGGTAAACCCCACCTGACCTTCAAGGCCTCATTCAGCACCATCCCCATGCAGACAGCTCACAGCATACACTCCTGTGTGCCCACACACCACAGCAAGGAACGTCTTTATCCCTTCTTTGTTCATGACCAGACTGAACACTTGAATGTCTTTGTGTTCCCAACAACTAGCTCAATGACTAAAACATAGCGAGTGCTCAGAAAACATTTACCTAGTTGAAGCGAGGGCTATGTGGTATCCTTCAGTGTCCTAAGTGCCACAGAAATACAGACACACATTCACTCCCACAAGAAAACTAACTGCTATCAGACATTCATCAACACCCCTCCCCAGAAGGTCTGCATTTGTGCACAACACCAGTACATAAATCATGGACAAGATTAGGAACAAGAAAGAATTCACTTTTCTGGAATGTGCAAAAGACCTTTCCCAAGTGCTGCATTTTTAAACTTTTAATGCCACCCCCCCTTTCTTTCTCACCTTCCAGAAGGACGCTCACCAGTGGTGTGCGGTCACTGTTCTTGGTCTGCTGAACCAGCAGCTCCCCGTCATCCAGAACGCGGGTGACTGGGTCGCCCCACTTGATGATGCCATTCATAATGTAACTTGCATAATCCTCCTGGTTGGTGCCAAATGCCTATGGAGCCAAAGAAGAGTGTAAAGCATTTTGAGCACTTGTATTAAATACTGAGATATTTAAAAGCATAAAAGATAAGTAATAACTCCTACACACTCAAGTGTCATGCACTAGCCCATATTAAAGTAAAAAGCCTAGGGGGGAAAAAAAACTGTCTCATTTCACTTTTTACCCAATAGCAACAAAAGCTGCTTTGGGTGACCCTATGGAGTAAAAACAATAGATCCTAGGCTCCAATTCGACCAGGGCCCAAAGCCTCATAATTCCCAAAAGGTATGTCCCACTGTGCTTATTTCTGTAGAGTATGCAGTAGTGTGCGGCCATTCTGTTAAGAACAAAGGGAAGAGAGATTATGGACTTGGAAATAGAGACAGCTCGGCGGACACACACACTATCCCGGCACTGACTGCAGACATCATGGATTACCATGGGAATATAAAATAGTAATGGGCAACATCTCTACAAAAAATGCTTCCAACACTGTCCACACCAACTCAGAGGCAGGGGACACAAGTTAAATGGCACCAAGGTACATTTCCATGTATAACTATAAGCTTTAGGATGAGACAGAAACAAACAGCTGTAAGGGAAGCGTGACGGGTCAAGAAGAGCCACTGCCACGGATACTCATGCTTGAGCTCATGCCTACTGGAGCTGAAATCCTTCGTCTTCAACTTTGATCTCGAATGCTGTAACTCCCATCAAAACCGCTGCCAACAGCAGTCAGTAACTTCAGTGCTTACCCGCAAACTGTGGAGCGTCATAGAATTCCCAGGAGAACGAAAAGGAAAACAAAGCCCAACGCAAAGGCCAGATGGTCTGAGAATTTCCACATTTTAAAAATTATCACGTCCCCCAAAAGTCAGTCTTTGGTCATCTACTATATGAAATCATTTTAACAATTCTTTGGGACCTGCACCTCACAGAAGGTCACTTTTGTAACACTGTCCCTGAAACAGTCTCCAGTGGTCTTTATTACTCTGCCACAAAATCACTTTCCAGGCCACTTTCTGGGTGGTGCCCTTGCATACACCAGTGCTCTAATCCCGAGGAGAGGGAAATATTTGCTCCTTGGCTGACACATGGCAAATTCAGTGGTCCTGTCACAAGTTTTAAAGAAAGAGCCTAACAAACATGGCTGAATGGCTGTCCGAGGAAATATGTAGGCTGCTAGGTATTGTTTTTGAGGTCCAGGTATATATGTCAAGCCTCACAGCAGAAGCTTTATGCCTGGACCATAAAGCTGGCTCTCCTTGAGTGTATGATGTGTATGTCTTCCCTTCATATCCCAACATTTCATTTTTGTTGTTGTTGTTTTATCCTCCAGACCTTTGGAACAGAGTTCTTACTTCCTCATAGCTAAATTATTTGTCACTAAAAACAAAAAACCTTTACCTTTTAAAGTAATCAGTACCATTTAAAGTAATCATTTTATATTCAAAAGTCACAAGTCACAAAAAGGGCTAAAACAAATGAACTTTGGTCTTTAAAGAAGATACTTGCAAAAAATAACTGTCAAAAATACATAACAAAAAGGAAAATTAAAATGAATAAATAACAAGTGGCCAATAAGCTTATGAAAAGAGGGAGGAGGCTGGAGAGAGGCAGAGAGAGAAAGAGGGAGGGAGGGAGATGTTGTGATCAACACGTGGAGCAGGTACCGAATTTAGGTTTGTGCAGCTTGGGAATGTGTAAGAACCAGTAAGAAAACTGTATACTGATTCCGGTTCAGAATACAGTCAAAGGTAGTCATTAAAAAGTCTCAAAGCTGATGGGTCTGCCTTATGAGAGGCAGGCTCTCCATCCTAAGAAATGCCTGGGTGACCGCTGGTTAACCGCCCAGTCAGCAGGATTATCGTACAGATGTTTCTCATACCAGATGCTTCCAACACTGAGATCTCCTCATTTATAAGACCACACATAACATGGCCTTCCACAGTCCTGAGTAAAGCAGCACTCCTTTTTCTCCCAAATTGCTCTGGGCTTACACGTCACTCCAGGCGCATACTCACTGGCTTGATATCATTCTCCAAAGAAGCAAGGAAGTCTCCTCTGGTCACCTGCAGGCTCTCTGCTTTTTCCATGTCCACTTCCACTTTAGTACTGGCCTAAGTAGAAATGAAAATAAAACATAAGGATATTTAAGAATAGGCTGGGTGCGGTGGTTCTTGCCTATAATTCCAGCACTTTGGGAGGCTGAGGCAGGAAGACTGCATGAGGCCAGGAATTGAGACCAGCCTGGGAAACATCTCTACAAAAAATAAAAATAAAGTTAGCCAAGTGTGGTGGCGCAGGCCTGCAGTTCCAGCTATTGGGAAGCTGAGGTGGTAGGATCACTTGAGTCCAAGAGTTCAAGGCTGCAGTGAGCTAAAACTCTGTTGCTTAAAAAAAAAAAAAAAAAAAGAACATTTAGGAATTTGAGAATATTTTCAGCCTAATCATTTATGTAATAAGGGATTAATATGCATAACATATAGCAAACTCCTACAATTCAACAACAAAAAAAACTAACCCAACTCAAAAATGGGCAAAGGATCTGACTAGACATTTTTCCAAAGAAGATATAAAGATGGCCTTGTAAAGCGCCTGAAAAGATGCTCAATGTCACTAATTATTAGGGAAATGCAAATGAAAACCAGGCATCACCTCATACCCCCATGAATGGCTACTACAAAACAAGCCAGAAGTAGCACAAGCCAGAGAGGACGTGGAGAAGTCAGAATCCCTGGGCACTGTTGGCTGGTGGGAACGTAAAATATTACTGCAGGAAATGGATTGGTAGCTGCTCAGAAAATGAACAGAATGATCATATGATCCAGCAATTCTGCCTCTGCGTCTACACCCAAACTGAAAACAGGGCCTTGGAGAGACAAGGAGGCACTCATGTTCATGACAGCACCGTTCACAATCACGATGTGGACAGACACAACCAAAAACCCACTGATGGACGAATGGATGAACAAGATGTGGCCTATCCACACAGGGGACCTTCTTCAGCTTTCAAAGGAAGAACTTTCTGAGTCATGCCGCACTATGGGTGAACCTCGAGGACATTATGCCGAGTGACATGAGCCAGTCACAGAAAGACAAATGCTGTAGAATTCTACTTATCAGAGGTACCCAGAGTAGTTAATATCACAGAGATGGAATGGTGGTGGCCGGGACTGGGGAGAGGGGGCAGGAGTTACTGCTTATGGGACAGAGTTTCAGCTGACAAGATGAAGAGCTCTGGAGGCGAGTGGCAGGATGGCTGCACAACATTAGGAATGCATTTCATGCCACTGAACTGCGTACTTAAAAATGGTTACAGGCCAGATGCAGTGGCTCACACCTATAATGCCAGCACTTTGGGAGGCCGAGGGGAGAGGATTGCCTGAGCCTTTCGGGTTCAAGACCTGCCCTGGCAACTTGGTGAGACCTCATCTCTACAATAAAGAAAAAAAATTAGCCAGGCATGATGGTACGTGCCTGTTGTTCCGGCTACTTGGAAGGCTGAGGAGGAAGGATCACTTGAGCCCAGCAAGTCGAGGCTGCAGTGGCTGGGAGCATGCCACTGCCCTACAGCCTGGGCAAGAGTGAGGATCCAATTTAAAAAAAAAAAGAAAAAAAAATGGTTACAATGGTAAATTTTATTTATGTGTATTTTAACACAATTTTAAAAGCTGGAAAAAACAAGCAAAATACACCTCTCAAATTCACAAATATATATCCTTTATCCAGAAATTTATCTCACAAATATATTCATAAATGTGTACAAAGTTATATGCATAAGGAGATCTACTGCAGTCATTTGTAATAAAGAAGACTGGAAGCATAGTAAACGTCCACCAAGAGGGGACTGGTTCAGTACATTATAAAACATCTGAACCAAAGACCACTGTACAGTCAGTGCTTAAAAAAATGGGCATCAGGAAAATCCACACAGAGGGCAGGGACAGTGAAAAAACACACAAAAAGCACACACAAGGATAGAACAATGGCTCTCTCCCTTGGCACACACCAACATGACCTCTAGAGCCTTGGGAGAGTAAGTCCCTGACATCCAAATGAGCTCTGTTCCGAGAGCGCATTCGTAAGTCCAGTAGAGTCAGCCCAGGCACCCAACTAACACAATCGGCTGTGCAGCACCAGCTACCTCGCCATCGTGACACTTGCTTCTGGACATCCTGGGCTTGAAATGAAGACACCGTGCTACTGTACTCTATCCAATCCTGTGCAGTATAGTACACAAAAGCAATACCACATGTGGTAGATGCACGCATGTGACAATGGATGCCAGACATGGGAACTCACTTACGCGACTAGAAATGATTGAACAGGTGAGTGCATGTTTGCCCAGCTCCCCCCACCCCATCCCACTCCACCCCCTGCCCCTAGGATTTTGATCTATCAGGTCAAGTTGCTGGCCCAGGCATTTACAGATATCGTCACAGGTGATTCTGACACTGATCCAGGTTTGAGAACCGTTACCCTGAGAGATCAAGACCTCCAACTCCAATTTGCCCTCATGCTTTGTGCTTGAACGTCTGCATTTATACTTTATATTCTGATTGGCTGACTGCACCTGGAGCTGACACCCAGACATCTGGAGAGGTACCGAGGCCTTTATCAGCCTGGAGCTGCCCAGACCTGACGAGTGATGAGGACACTGACACGTGTTTAATGCAACTGGACTCGCGACCAACAGCACACAGCAAGAAGGCCCATTTTGAGGTTGGCATCATGGCTTTTTAAAAAAAGGCATCTTTCCCAAAAAGCTGGCGAAAAACCAAAACTGTGTTAAGGAAACACCAACCTTCCATCGACTATTAAAAGATTATTATAAGATATGAATCATGTTCCTTTAGGAGCAGACTGCTGAGGCGAGACTTTAACGAGAAGAAGTCAGCTGGGATAAAAAGACTGTCAGGCAACTGTGGCAAAATGGCAGCAGAACACGTTTACTCATCTCCTTCCTGCCCCAAGTCCCATGCAATGAAGGACCGTGAGAGCGGAGTCAAGAAACAGAAGAAACATCTCGAAGTTTTAACACTGATCTAATAGGAGTCTCAGAAGGAGAGAACAGAAACAGTGATAGAGAAGGATCAATAAAAGAAAAGGAAAGTGTTTTCCAAGGCTGAAGAAAGGCGTGTCTTTGCAGTTTAAAAGGTTCAGTGAGTGACGCCTGGGATAAATGAAAGAAAACCCACAGCTGGAAACGGTTGGAGCACCAAGGATGAGAACCCTGGACCCTCCTGACAGATAAATGCAGGCTGCCCACAAAGAAAACTGAGTACGGTCACTGTGATCACTTGTGTTGGCAACACCAGAAACTAGAAGACAATGACAGCTGTTTCAAAAGCACGTCTGGAGAGGGCATCCTCGCGCACACAAGTAGGCAGGTGAGTACTTTGATGACAGTAAGATTTTCAACAGCCACAACCAGGAATAATCTACAGTAAATAAATTGATCAGCCGGGCTCAGTGGCTCAGCCTGTAATCCCGCGCCTTTGGGAGGCTGAGGTGAGTGAATTGCCTGAGCCTGCGGGTTCGAGACCCGCCTGGGCAGCAAGACCTCATCTCTACAATAAATCAAAAAAATCAGCCGGGCGTTGTAGCGCATGCCTGTAATTCCAGCTACTCGGAAGGCTGAGGCAGAAGGATCACCGGAGCCCAGCAGGCGAGGCTGCGGTGGCCGGGAGTGGCCACTGCACTCCAGTCTGGGCGACCGAGTGAGACTCCAACTCAAAAAAAAAAAAAAAAATAAGTTGATCATTCATTTATGATGTTTACTGAGTGTCTACCACATATCAAGCATTGCTCCAGGAACTAGAGATGAGCAGTACATAAACAGACAAGGTCCTGACTCTATGGACCCTACATCTGAAATGACATGATAATCTAGAACACTGCACATTTGCCCAGGATAATAAAGGGGCCTTGCACATGCTGACATGGAAAGCTACCCAGGACACATCTGCAAGTGAAAGATGCAAATTGTATTATAATTCCGTTAATGTTCATTTTTTTTTTAAAAGCACATATGTATATGAATGTGAATATAAAGAAAATCAACCACGAGGGTATTCCCCAAATGCTGGCTAACTCTGGAGAGAGGCGTGTGGGAGATGGCCTTTCTTCTTTCTCCCCAGGAGCTCTGACATCTCAGAATCTTTTACAGAAATGATATATCCATGTATGACTTCTATACTGCTACTAAGAAAGCAGAAAGTACTGTTTAAGAGTCAGATAGAGTCGGGCTCGGTGGCGCTGAAACTCAAAAAAAAAGAGACAGATAGATAGATAATCCACTTAAATAGAACAATTAACACTTAATTACTAATCGGATTTTCACTAGTATATGTTAGGCATGCGATCAATATTTATTTGGCATTTCTAAGTTTTTAAAAACAGAAATGGTGTTTTGAGAAACAAGCACCTCTGTGAAAGAATTATGACCGTCATTATCTGTAAATGTCTATGGTTCTTTAGAGTTTATCATGTTCATATACATGACCTCATTTCATCATATCACACTGTCTCATTTTATACTTACATAGACCAGAGGTTTTCAAAAGTCCTTAAGGGTAGATATAGGACGACTTCTGTCCTAGGTACACTTATATAGAGGTTTCAAGTCTGATTAAAACTTTTTGACACATCTAAAAGGATTTTTACAAGCTTCAAACTTCCAGGAGAAAGGAAAGAAGCAGCCCAGAGAGAACCTTATTAAAATTGCAACAATGCTACCACCTCAGGTTAAGTGTCTCCTCCCTACATGGCCCCAAGTTTTTACCATGATATTTTTTCTATTCTGATTTGCTCTTATAGCAAAACTGAATTCAAACGACAGCCACATATAGCAACATGAAAAAAAAAAATCTCATCCATCTTTCAACGTTTGCCAAAAAAGGACAGAGGCAAGTGTAAAGTCTGTCTTTTTACTAATTTTTAAGAAAGGATTTGCCCAATGAATGGGCAAGTCCCTTCTTAAAAGTGAATTCAGATGGCTGGAAGAGGCATTTAAGAATAAGTTGCTTTCCAGTTCTTCAAGAATTTTAGAAGTTACAGAATTGTAAGCAATCAATATTCCAACAGTCAATTATGCCTACCTGTTCATTAAAATAATTTTCCAAAGGACTTCTCTTAGCCAACTTCAATTTTATCAAAATTCATAGAAGTTTACAATTCTACACTTTTATTCATTCAGAAGACCTTCCTTCATTTGCTTGAACTCATATGGTTTTTTTCCTGCATTTTATTTATAACAGGTAATCAATACAGCAGCAGCAGCATCTTTCAGCTTTTACCTGCAGAATCTAATAAACTCGTATTTCAACACCAGCAAATATTGAGTGGTCACCCTTAGATTTCGTAACCTTTTAAATCTGACCTTTCAAAGTTCTTATCATTCCTCTTAAATTAAGCATACAATGACCTTAATCAATCAAAAATTCTGTGGCAAATAAGAGATATTTTATTGAAATTCTACAAACCTAACTCAGAGCTGTGACTCTGGCAGAAAAGTGCGTGTGCGTTCCCTCAACTTATTTCCTCACAACAGATTAGAGAAGAAATTTGGATTATGAGTCTTCGCTACCTGAAGCAGAAATCCCTTTCAAGATAAAAACAAACAAATGTCACATGAATTTTAGCTGACTGCAAATATGGGTCAACTACAAACGCCATGAGCGTCAGGTATTTATGGGCAGATTTTCCACAGGTTTCAGAAAACCTGAAAAAACAGTTTAACACGAAGACTTGTATCTTTGTTTAGGCCTACATCTTTTGAAAAGGAAGCCAAAAAAACATTAATAGTGGCCTTTTATACTACGAAGAAAGAACGTTGAATACTGTAGACGTTGTAAAGTTCTATAACAACTTTAAATCATAAGCTTCAAATTAAATATTTGTCAATCACCACAAGTAAAGTTACAGAATCGACAGCGATGGGAAGACCCAAATCGTGTATCTTTTGTTCAGCTGAACAGGAATCTTGTTGGAAAATGATGTTTAAAGACCTCCGACAATGTGATTTCTTTCAATGCAAAAAAGGAAATAACTGTCAGTAGTTCTTTTGGGGTACAATGAGTGCCCTACATGGCTTCCTAGTCCTTCAGGTGCCTACGCAGTGCCTTGCATCAGTTACCCCGTAGACGCTATAACAAATTAAATGCTGTGTCATTTGACGCTTAAAGAGAATTCAGCCACATGGAAAAAGTGAGGGAAATCACAGGGACTATTTGTACTACCTCTTACTTGTAAATCCAAAGGATAATATGTTCTATACAGGGGTAATAGACATTTAAGTATTTATATAATTAGCAAAATTGTAACAGTAAATAGTCAATAAAAATCAGAAATTCGGATACTGAAAAGGATGCATATGATATCCTCTCAAATCAGCCAATAACCACAACAATAGAAATGACTAGCATCTACAGAGTCTGTAAGGCACTTCTATGGACAGTCTTCGATTTCATTCTCACAAAAATCTGATGAGACAGGCAGTATTTCCCCTTGGCAGGCCAGAAACAACAAAGCGTAAGAAATGAGCACACAGCCACACCTCTGACTGTGAGGTCTGCAATCCTGCCTCACTCCCCGAGTGTAGGTAAACCCAAGGGGTGCCTAAAGAAAGCCTGCGTCTTAGTGAGACAATGGCTTAGAGTAACATTCTGGGAAAGGATGATTGTAGCAAAAATGACACATGACTAAATTAAGAGGAAAATCCCAGGGCTAATGTACATGGGAAGTTCGGTGACCAGCAAGCCAGCTATTGCGGATTATACCAAGGTGCGCTCACAGGGTCTGAGACAAAGGATTAGGAGGGCAGGGAGCGACTGCCCTGAAGTCATCATTGCTTCTTCCTGCGACACTTCTCATAGCAAAGCAGAAACATGAAAAGCTAGGCCTTGAGTGGACCCCTTCTAGACAGGAACCCACAATGCATTCCCACAGTGCCCAGGCCTTCGGTACTCTTGAGCCAGAAACAAAGCCACTTCCATCATGCAGGACAATGACGCCCTACAACAGAGGCCTATGTGTCCTCACTTGGGAAGGTTGACTGCACACCTGCCATGTGCTCAATGTTGAGACTTACTTTGGGTACCATGGGGGAGTCAGAGACAGGGAAGACACAGACTTCAAATCTACAATGGTGTTGGTGAGTGTTCTCCGTAAGGGTCAGACGGGACTACCCTAGGCTCCAAGGGCTGTCCCTTCTGCCCACAAGCAGTCTTGCCACCACCGCACGCTAGCAGTCAGACAACACATACATTAACGGGTGTGACTGTACTCCCAAAAATCCTTTATTCACAGGAACTGGTGGCTGATTGGACTCCTGGTCTGGAACCACTGATAGGATATGCCCAGATACCTACCACATGCTTAACCCAACTGTTCAGGCTTTGATTATCTCCTGCCTGGACTGCCATCAAAGCTCCCCTCCCTGGTCCCATCTCGCCAACTCTACTCCCCTAAATACTCCACTAGACGCAGCTGCCAGAATGATCTTATGTTTTAACACTATGTCACACTGCTATTCTCAAAACTCTTCAATGGCTTAGCACTACTCACAGGAAAAAAGTCCACACTTCTTAGCGGACTATAAAAGGCCCTTTATGCTCCGGCCCTGCTGCAGTCTCCTGACTTCATCATCTCTCTTTCTGCCGCCCCCCACTTCTGTGCTGAAGCCACACTCAGTGACCCCAACACACTGTGCTGTTCTCTGTTCCTCTGCACGTGTCCTTTCCTCTCCCTAAAACGCCCTGCCCCACCCCAAGAGACACCCGTGTCCACCCAGGAAATTCCTCCTGAAGGTTCCTCTCACCCTGCATGCGGACAGAGCCTGACGCAACCACCTTCTCCCCTGCATGTGCCCTTTGCGCCTGCCTGTGAGGGCGTCAGCTGAGTGCTGCTCACTGGCAGGCCGTGTCCTTCTCTGCAGCTGCGATGTCAGCTCCTAGCACGGTGTCCAGCACATGGGAGGCAGCCACTGCTGAGTGAATCTATTCTGAATCGAAGTCAGCTGAAGGCACCATAAACAGTATGCTTCTATTTCAAGAAAGACAGAGTAGGTCATCCTCGAAAGGGAAACTAGAAAGGCTTGAGAGCAGTGGTAGCAAAAGAGCCCAGCAAAGAGGAGACAGGCGGACACAGAGGACTCAAAAGACAGAACAGAAACAGGCTGGACAGCAAGCTGCCATCTGCGGACCACTGAGCATGGCAGTCTGGGGGTCCTATGGAGGACAGCCAGGAACATGCTTGGAAAGGCAAGTTGGGGTCGGATTGAGAGGACCTGAGAGTCCAGGTCCAGAGTCTGAATCTGTGGTGACATACAGTGGGAAGTCACTGGCGGGGTCTGGACGGTGGAATGGCATGGGACAGGAAGGCCAGTCACAGCAAAGGTGGGTGGGTGGGGAGAGCTGAAGGGTGTTGCCAAGACAAGCCACCATGGCTGGCAGGTAACGTGATGCAGGACACAGCAGCACAGCAGTTACCAAGGGTGACCCTGAAGTTTTAGCCTGGGAAATGGGGCACACAAGAGAACAGAAACAGGAAGAGGAGGAGGAAAGACAGTGAGCTGAGTTTTGCAACATTAAATCTGAGACCTGGTAGGACATCCAGGTGAGGGTGCTCAGAGTGAATATGAAAGTGGGAGACAGAGGCGCTCAAGCGCCAAGACATCAATCTGGCTAATTTATCAACGTGTCCACAGGCGACAATGGAAACCCCAAGAAAGCTGACAGCAAAGGATGTGGAGCCCTTGATTCACCAAAATAAAAGATGCCTGCATGCATTTCTCCCATGGCAACTACAACATCATCAGGCTGATTTGAAAATACGTCCACTTCCATGGCTCTGAACTCCTTGAGAGAAGAGCTTCTGCCTTACTGACATTATGTCTCCAGCCGAAACATTGAGAGCAGCAAGCACTCAGTGTCTCTGCTGAACAGAACAGCCCCCATACTTCAAGTATGCAGAAAATCCAAGCTCCTGTGGCATGTTACAACTTAATACAATGCAAAGATTTTTTTTTAAAACTTCTTCAAAATTTTCACTTCCCATGTCTGTGCCAGACAGCCCGAGGTCAGTGAGGCAGTACTACCCCGGGCAGACGCGCATGGTGCCGTCCTCTGTTCTGCTACAGGACAATGCGACAGAAGGCGATGGGTTCTTATTCCTTTCACCATCCCATCTCCATCGAGAGTCAGTGTGACCCTGGCCCCGGCACACCGGGAGGAAAGAGCAAGGATGTGGCATGGCACCTGTCACGGGCTTTGGACTTCCTACCTTGATGTGTCTGTTCATGGCGGTGGACTGTGCTGCGCGCACCAGGCCCTCCAGCTCAGCCCCGCTGAAGTTCTTGGTCTCCACGGCCAGCTCCTTAATGTCCACGTCAGCAGAGAGCAACTGGTGTCCTCGCATCCTGGCCGTGTGGATGTGAAGAATCTGGAGGCGGCCCTTCTCATCTGGCAGACCTGATGCAATTACAAATAAAACAGGCACTTCTTAGTCCCAGAAACATCATCCAAGGAGACCATCATCACCCTACCGCTTCTCTTACAGGGGCTCAAGCATGTAAACAGCTGCTTCTCGTGAGAGAACACTTTCTAACAAACACTGTGTCATGTGACATTGCTCCCGCCAGTGGGGAAGCACTGCAATGAGGATGGTTCTGCCTACCTATCTCCATCTTCACCTCCAGTCTTCCAGGTCGAAGAAGCGCCTCGTCGATCAGATCTGGTCGGTTGGTCATTCCTGAACACAGACGGTACAACAAAAAGCAAATGGTCAGAGTTCAGAAAGCAGGCAAAACGTCCCTTCAGGACACTTAGGAATAGCAGTTTCCCTAATGAGCTAAGAGGATAGTCTATAACAGTCCCACTGAAAGCACAACTATTCTCAAATAAAATAACATTTGTTCTTGCTCTGCTCTAAGGTGAATACTTGGAGACTCTCTGTTTCAGTACTGTACAAGCCAGCGGAATGTACACGTAACAGAAACCTGCAGGACTTGAGAGAAAAAGTTGAGGTTCGGAGAGTGAGTGACCCAACAGAATGGTGACATGAATCCACTCTGATCCCTAAGTCCCTCCACTCTTTTGTAGGCCAGTGGCTTCAATCTTTATAAAATGGCACTCCCCTCCCCTCAAAAAAGCCATCTTAAGAGAAGCTCAGGACATAAAACACTTAAAAGAAGACGCTGCAATAGGTACACTGGGGCACCTCTGAGGACCCCTGGAAGTGCCAGGACCCAGGCTGAAAACCACTGCCTTCCACTCAGCTGCCTTTTTCATCTGTGGCTGAGCTTGAAGCTTAAACCCACACATTTAAGATCCATCTTTTACTTTTCCTATCAAGGCTGGACACTGAAATAACAAGAGTCTGCAATATCCCTTGAGCCTAAGTTAGAACCACTGGCAAGACAACATGATCACAACTGGGACAGAGCCCAATTCAGAGCCTGTGCCTGACGTTTGTCGGGGAACAGTGCTTCTCTTAAAAAGGCAGACGCACCAATGACCAGGATGTTGTTCAGTTGCTCCACGCCATCGATCTTGGACAGCAGCTGGTTGACGACAGTGTCGTGCACACCTGTGCTCCCGGCCATGCTTCCCCTCTGCTTGCAGATGGCGTCAATCTCGTCAAAGATGATGATGTGCAAGCCACTGTTAGCACCAAGCTGTTGGCGAGGTCAGCACATAAAAGGATCACTAAACAAGCCGATCCAAAGAGCAAGGCAAAGCTTTCAACAGACTGACTTCCCTCCACTTTGACTCATAAAAGCAGCAAGTGCAGTCATGGCTGCTGTCCACTCAAAGGTTCTGGAACTGCCTTCTCAAAGTTCTGCAAACTGAACATGCATCCCAGCACCTCATATTTAATCGCCTTAAGACAGAATTGGGCAGTATATACTGGTACCTTGTACGTGTGTGTGTATATATGTGTGGAGCGAGCGAACAAGAAACAGACTAGTTCATCAAGTAACTATATGTTAATGTATGCATAGTTCTTTTTTTTGTAGAGACGGGGGTCTCGTTATGTTGCTCAGGTTGGTCTTGAACTCCTGGCCTCCAGTGATCCTCCTCCCTCAGCCTCCCAAAATGCAGGGATTAGAGATGTGAGCCACCACACCTGGCCTATGTACATCTCTTACCTCACTGTTTGGAAGAAATTTTCTACTTGGCAGGTAGATTTGCTAAATCAGTGAGTGACATCTCCCTCCCTTTTCCCTTGAGTTTTGGCGAGAACAGTCCCAGATGCAGGAGGTTTAACGTTTGTTTTGTTATATTATGTAATGAAAGATTCGCTCCAACCACAAGTAACCTGGGAACTGGGCAAAGGGTGAAGGACTGATCCTGGTTCCTATTCACCCATCTCACAGAGAAACAGGTCCCCTCTCCCCAAGGGCAGAGTGACAACGGAGACACTTCCCAGAAAGAACACAGGGTAAGTGGCACTGTTTCTTCCACACAGTGATCTCTGTTTTCGTTTACTGGAAACAGAGTTGTCACCAAAATAAATTAGTTTATATTTTTTGAACCTTTAAGAGATGCGCTCACTTTTTAATACTAATAATTTATTAGGTTGATTTAACACGGGTATTCTAGCAATTCATATTTAAGTAATTAAGTCTCCTATTAGGGAACAAAGAGTAATGTGCACTCTAAGAATTTCCTTTTTTAAATAAAAAACATTCAAGATTAACAAAACTGGTGAAAATGAACATAAACCAAATATGACAACATATGGGTAATAAAAACTACATGGTCAGCATAATAAGACTGAATTAGGAATGATTAGTATCCACTAAATCTCTGGTATGGATGTAACCTTTTTTCAAATAAGAGTTTTGTTTTTAACTATGTTATAAAAGTAGTAGGTATGTTAAGAGAGTGAAAGTTGTAAAACAAACAAAGTTTAAAAATAAAGCCAGACATGGTGGTGCATACCTACAGTCCCAGCTACTTGGAGACTGAAGCTGCGGTATGGCTAGCACCTAGGAGTTTGAGTCTCACCTGGGCAACATAGCAAGATTCCATCACTAAAAAAATAAAATAAACTACATTCACAGCAGCTCATGGCTGTAATCCCAGAAACTCAGGAATCTTAAGTGATAAGACTATTTAAAGTCAAGAGTTCAAGACCAGCCTGAGCAACATAGCATAATCCCATCATTATCAAAACACCACTACCACCACCAATAACAAAACTACATTATATCACCTAAAGACACATGCTGTCAACATTCTACAGATTTCTACACTTTTAGTTTATTTTAACTAAAAATAAAAATAAGGAAATTGCAATCACCTAAAATGGAACTGTGTAATATTTTGCACCCTTTCTTTCAGCCCAGGCACTCTCTTAAACCCTCTTCCATGTCTATACAATAAGATTTTTACTAGTTGACCAGCCTGGACAACATGGCGAGACCTCGTCTCTATAATAAATCAAAAAATTAGCTGGGCGCTGATACACCGAGCCCAGCCTTTTCTGTTGTTTTAAAAAATAAAATAAAATTACATTTGTCTGCTAGGTCCAGTGGCTCACAACTGAAATCCCAGCACTTTGGGAGGCTAAGGTGGGAGGATTGCTTGAGGTCAGGAGTTTGAGGGCAGACTGGGCGACATGTTGAGACTTCCACTCAAATAAATATTTAAAAACTAGCTGGGCATGATGGCACTTGCCCGTAGTTTCAGCTACATGGGAGGCCAAGGCAGTAGGCCCAGGAGGTCACTCCAGCCTGGACAGCAGAGTGAGACTCTGACTCAAAAAAATAAATAATTAGTTAAATAAAATCACTTGTGTCTAATCACTGAAGAGGTGGGTACTTTTTAAAAAATCATATTTTTCACTATTGGTAGTTTTTCTCTTATTATTTGATAGGTCTTCTATGTACTTTTCTGTTGAAATTTAAGAGCTTTTCCTGCTGATTTATTTTAAAGTGCTTTATATGCTAAGGCTATTACTATATTTGTTGTAAATATTTTACTCTGATTTGTTGTATGTCTTTTCATTTTAGTTGTGGAATATGTTTGATAAGTGGAGGGTTTGGGTTTTTATTGTTTAAGCAGTCAGAATTTTTCACACTTATGTTTTTGTTACTTTTATTCTTAAGATCATTCCCCATCACAGACACTGACAGTCACCTCCCTATTTTCTTCTCTTTTACATTTTTACCAAATTTATAACTCTTCATCTGGTGTTTTATTTTGTGTATGGGACAAGTGGAGTGAGAGTCCAACTAATTCTTCAGACAGTTAACTAGCTGCCCTGGTGCTGTTGACTGAACAAGTCTTCCTCTCCTCACGAACTCAGACGCTGCCTCCATAGGGTTTTGAACTTACCGCATGCTGGATTATTTCCAGCACGTTCACGCTGGTCCTGGATCTGGGTAAGTCCTCGTCTCTAACTCTGCAGTGGGAGGTCGCTCTTCCCTCCACACAAGCTACTCCTTTTTCATGACTAGTTTGGTCATTCTCAACCATGTCAACTTCCAAACGAACATCAGAATCATTTTTTGGCGGGGGGAGGAATTTCACCGATGAAAAACAAGAAAGACGCAAAAGCCCACACTTTCCTTGAAATTAGATCAAATCTTTAAGTTAATTTAGGAGATACTAGCACCTTTATAGTATATTGGGTTTTGCTGTTGTCATCGTTGTTGTCTCCCTGTCGCCCTGGTTGGAGTGCAGCAACACCAGCACAGCTCACCACAGCCTCAACCTCCTGGGCTCAAGATCCTCCTGAGGAGCTGGGACTACAGGTACACGCATCCAAGCCAGGCTAATTTTTAAATATTTTGTAGAGACACAGTCTATGTTCTCTAGGGCGGGCTCAAACTCCTGCCTCGACCTCCCAAAGTCTTGAGATTATAAATGTGATCCACAGCACCCAGCCCCAGTCAAGCTTTATAGTTTTGTTATATAAGTTTCTTCATAAAGATTTCTAACTATTTATGCTTTTTGGTTGTACTTGTGAATGGGATTTTTCCACTGTATTTCAGAAATGGTATAAAAGTATAAACGATATATATTAATTTTATATATGCTTCTTTTATCTGGCCAATTTACTCTTACTTATAATATGCAAGTTTTAAAAAATCTGGTTCTTTTGAATTTTCTAAGTAGACAATCATATAGTCCACACGTACTATATGTGTTCTCCTTTCTAACAGGTATCCTTGTTTTGGGGTACAAGAAACTGTACCTAAACAAAGACACAAAAGGAGAAAGACAAGGTCTAATACACAAGAACTTAGGGACATGCAGGGTCACTGGACAGAAGCTCAGAGTCAATCAAGGCTCCATGGAAGGTAACAGAGTCAGCCTCACAGGGAAAGGGAGGCAGCAGGACTCTCATGAAGCATCGGCATCTAGACCCAGGCCCCGCTAGGAAGCAGAGGAGGTCACTGCACGTGGGGCAGGAACACAGGCTCTTCACGTCGAACGATGCTGTTCCTGCTCCAAGAGAAGCGAAGAGTGAGGAGCTGCGGATGGGAGGTCAGCAAGAAACAGACAAGGCACACAGATGAGGAGGACAGACCTGATAGGAGAGTTCTGGCGAGGGCACGACAGTCACGAGGTCAGCTCATAGACCTGGCTGCGTCTGCATGTGGGAGGGAAAAGGGACAGTGAGGTAGGTGAGCGGGTGGTTACGAGAGAGCTGCAGGAGGGAAGAGACGTAGGTAAGAAATGTCCGCTGGAAAGCAAGACACGGCCGGCTGAACAAAGGAGGACAGAGACAGGTCTGAGTCACCTGCAAATCACCAAAACTAGTCTAGGAGCAGCGAGGTTTTGTAAGAAGATTAATCATGTAATTAAGCTGGAGGAACACAGAAGCGGGACAAGTTCTGGGCTACGATACCAGAAGATGCCCACAGTAACTGGAAGAAAGTGGGGGACAGAGGGGGACACACAACAGAGAAGAAAGATGAAAGGCAACATCCCAAGTAGGAGGAAAAAGCGTTTCAGAAATGGCCTGAAGGAAACTGGGCCTAAAACAAACCTGAATCTACAAAGTATGTTTTTAATCAACAACAGACAAAGCATGTGGCCTAGCAATTCTACTACCTAGCTTACTGCAGCCTTGCTCACAAGTGACCCAACTGCAAGGCGCCCAAAAGCCCTTCGGTGGGTCAACGGACAAAACGTGCACATCTGCACAACGGAATAGTACACAAGAAGAAAGAGGGACGCTTGACACCTGTGACGATGGGATTCACCTCCAAGGCATCATGCCAAGTGAAGACGGCCAGTCCCAAAAGGTTAGACACTGGAGACTCTATACGATGTTCTTGAGGAGACAAACGACAGGGGTGGAGAACAGACAGGTGGTTACCAGCAGTTACCGGCAGAGGGAAGGTGACAGCCTGAGGGTATGTGGGGGTGAGGGGTGTCACATTCCCTATCAGGATTTGGGAGGTGGCCCCATGAATCAATGTATGCATGTTAATACTCTCAAAACTATACACCAGGAGGAAAAAAAGGTCACTTTTACTGCATGATAATAATACTAAACCAGATGGCATATCTTATAAGACACTCTGATTCACATTGTTTATTCCATGATTCAGAATATTGTTCCTTCTTTAATACAATTCTGTGCAGGATGACAGCCAGTGTCCATTAAAGTTTCTAAAATTTACCTGGGTTTTATTTTTTCCTGATTATCACTTAC